AAATTTATATGAGAAGAAAAAATGGAAGGATAATGAAAGGAGAATCGAGAAAAAACGAAAATAAGAGAAGAAAGAAAGTAAAAAGAAAAGATGAAAGAATAAAAGGATTTTGGTTAAAGAATAAACAAAACAAAAAAGTGAAAATTAAAGATAATGAAAAATAAGAAAAAAAACAAGGAAAAATAGCCTTAAAATAAAAGAAAGAAAATAAGTGAAGAAAGGAAAGAATGAACACATAATAAGAAATTAAATGAAGTAAACGTAAATAAAAATAAAATATATATATATATATATATATATATATATATATATATATATATATATATATATATATATATATATAGCTATGATGAGAACGAATATAGTACAATTCCAATGTTCGTAACATTTAATTTAAAAGGGGCTCAATATAATGTAGAGCAATATTCTTTATTTTAGGATATTACATCCAAAAACCTGTCAAAATCATAATACAATTGGAGTCGTGTTTCGATGCTCATACAACGCATCTCATCAGGGGATTATAAATTACAATCTCCTGAGAAGATGCATTGTATACGCACAATTAAAATGGTGAAGAATTTGTGCAGAACCAACCACACTTTTTGAAGGGCCGAAAACAGAGACTTAGTGCACTACGTGTCATGACGTCCCTAAATGACCCTTCGCAGGTTTTGAATTCCGAGTTGTACTTCTCCTAGACCAGTTGCCATCCAATCTATAGAACCTAGTCTGTCCTGCTATTTTCAAATAGCTAAGGGGAGAGAGGCTAAATACCTCCCCCAAGGGTATTAGCACATAAGTGAATGTAATATATATATATATATATATATATATATATATATATATATATTTTTTTACACTCCCTTTTTTAAACAAATGATTTGCAAATTTTTATCCACATTTTTCATCTATTTTTGTTCCTTGGCCCTTTTTTCATTTCAATATTTTATTACTATATATTCCATTTTTCCTGCTCATTTCTTCCTCGTCCCATGTTACTCTAACTACAGCCCGTATTTCTGAAATTGACAACTAGGTCGAAAATTTTTTGTCTACAACTGGCTACACGCGAGGCGTCTTTACCCTTCCATCTCCGCAACCCATAACTCTTTTCATCTGCGTTTACTGTCGTACCCCCCCTACTACAAATAATAGACCAGCTTAAAACTTTTTCACTGATCAAAATTTTCACTTTAAGTTTATTTTCATAAAAAGTTTCGCACAGCGAGGTATCAGACAGAGATCGGGTTTTTGCTAATATGATTTCCACCAGAAAATACGCCGAATACAAAAACATCTGTCGGTGAGTACTTCCCATTTCTCTGTTTACTTTTCACTCCGTTGATGAAGGACCCAGGCGAAAATCCCGGATTTAAAACCTTTCTTTCTGTGCTTTATTTCTGTCATATAATGAATAATTCATATTTAATAAATGCTTTACGTATTGATTATATGGTACCCTTTTGTTTGTCCTTGTTTTATTAACTAACCTGTATATATATATATATATATATATATATATATATATATATATATATATATATATATATATTTGTTTTTGTATGAATGATTCATGAATTTATAAATTATAATTGCACCTTTTAATTGAAATTTAAATAACTGATCCAACGTGCAACTTTCGGATAAGTGTGACATTACTGTAATTATTGAACAATATAGTTTATACCATATTGACGGAAAATCTACCAGTAAAAAAGAATTCTCTTATTGCTATATTTGTACAAAAACGCACAACCTTAAAATTTAAATTCAAACTCAGCGTTGCGACTGCACGTTCCAAAACAATAACACATTTCTCATAGCATTTTTTCGGATTACATCTCTATTTTTGTTGTCCCCTTATTACCGAGAAATAAAAACAAGAACAAAATCTATTTCCATACCTGATGATGTCTGTAGGAACAGACGAAAGCTTGTAAAAAATTAAAAAGACCTTATGCAACTGGAATTTGTAAACAGGAATCATATCATTCATATACATTATGTGTGTGTGTGTGACTATAAAAAGAAAACTATCATTTAATCTCCTTGAAGGTAGACACGTTCTGAATCCCCACATTTTAGCCACCGTTGTTTCGATTGATCGAAACATTCCTAGATTTCTTTTCGGAGGAAAACGCGCAGTGGCCAGATCGCATTCGTTTGGCTTTCCTCGAGATCTTGAAATATTGTTCCTTTCAATTGGCATTTGATTTTTGGAAAGAGGAAAACGTCAGGGCATAGTGTGCATTACTCATTTAACATTTCTCTTTGGCAACCATACGAATATATACCTGATAGATAGATAGACTGAAATCTGAGAGCTGGAAGGTTGCATTACTTTAGTTTTCTGAATGGAGAAAGGCAAAAATGACCGTTAAAGATCACAAGATCACCATTCAAAATCCTGTTTGATAGATAGATAGATAGATAGATAGATAGATAGATAGATAGATAGATAGATAGATAGATAGACGTGCATAATTATCGAGCTTACATTTATACAAAAGATCAGATTGGCCATGCGTGTCAATGTTTTCCTCCTCAACATCGAAAAAAATTAATGGTCTACTTTGATTTGATTTCTCTAAGCAATATATCGTATCGGATAATAGCTGTTATAATTTAAATTATTGATAACTTCTCATCAACTGGATCAGTTTTTTATTGTGGAAAATGCAAATCAAATTTGTATTCAAAATATGTCCCAAAATATAAGCGAGATAAACACAATATCACATATATTCTTTTATTTTTGGTGTTCCTTGAAGACACGATGGCTTATGGCTCTCTACCAACTTCATACACTTTTGTAGCCTTAAGCAATTTTATTACCTTACTATCCATCTCAGTTTTTTTCCAGTCATGCATTTACATAAGTTCGATACGCAGTTTCTTCTCGCTTCTTTCTGATTGCTTTCAATATTCTGTGCGAGTATCAAATTCACCAAACTCTCTTCATTATACGTCCAAGAAATCTCATTTGCTCAATTAATTCTAATTAGAAGTGTCCTTTTTTTCCTATTTTCCTTAAAACTTCGTCGTTGCCTATATATTTATATCTTCAGTTTCTTTTGATAAGATTGTCTGAATCCCGTCTTAACATGTGATGAAATTGTTCAGCATACATTGCAATATAGAAGGATTTATATTACATATATTACCTGAATAATTATAATTTAGCGTTTTAATAGGGGCTCTTTGTCATCATACAAAATTCATCAGCCTTAGATTCTGTGATTTTGTTGTTTTTATCTATTCTTTCAACACACACAAGATTTATTTTTCCATTTCCATATACAGTCTGTTCGATAAAAATGACTCACCTCATTCTTTGAATTTAGCTCAACTTTCGTTTCATCGGAGACGAGAACATTCTTCCAGTTTTCTACGGTGAAATCTTTGCAACAGTGAGACCATTCAAGTCTCTTGGCTTTGTTGGCTTTGCTTATTAGTGGCTTAAACCTTTGTGTAGAAGATTTGTAGCCTTGTTCTAACAGCCACCGACGGACTGTTGAAGAAGCAAGACTAACACCTTGCTCTTCGCTTAGACTGGCTGCAATTTCTTGGCTAGTTTTAGTCCTATTCTTCGCAACATCGCTCTTAATTACCCTGCCAGTTCTATCATCAATCTTTTTCTTTCGTCCCATTGTTTCCTTCCTTGGAGCAGGAATGGCATCATTATGTGCCCTAAGCACTCGAAAGACAGTTGATTGCGAGGTTATAGCAATTTCTACAATTTCTCTCGTAGACTTGCCTGCATTTGAAAGGGCAATAATAGATGCCTTAAGTGGTTCTAATGCGTGTTTGTACCCTTTCATCTGGTTAGTGACTTGAGTGGCTATTTCAAGCTGTTTTTCTACTGTATGAGGCTTTCTGGAATATTCTGGAATACTCTAGATTTAATTTAAGCTGGTCTAGAATTCTCTAGAATATTGTTCTGAGTGTATTGTAAAATAGTTTTCAATATTTTATCAAAAGCTCTTTAAATTTACCAGTTTAATCATTAGAATGCGATATCTGAGTCACTTTTTTGCACAGAATATTTTCCTGAATCTCATTTATATCCAAATTTATAATTATCAATAGAATACGTCAGGGTGAATAAAATTTTTTTTCCTAGGTGGTCGGGAAAGGGTCTTTATATTAGTAAGATTAAAAATTATTTTAACCCCCAAAAAAATAGACACAAAATATTTTTAGTAAAAATATCAGGTGAGTCACTTTTATCGAACAGCACTGTACATCTCTTTTGATAATGAAACACGCGACGGTTCATGGTTAAAATAGTGCTGCGTATTGTGAAACGGGGTTCTCGCTCCTAAATTACAAACTCTTTGCATGTTTCTCAATTAGATATGAATGCTCCTGGACAGTTGAAGAAGATTTTCATTAAGTTCTTGAATCAAAGTTTCTAGTATTTTGATATGATCATTTCAAAGGTCTCATTCAAAATGTATTCATTCAGAGTGTCAGATCGCGACTTCAATTACTAGTATCCACTAAACATTACGTTTAAGTAACAAAAGTCTGTCATGAAAAATATTTAAAATTTCATATCCTATTGATCCAATTTAAATTGAAACTAAGCCTCTTCATGCAAAATATACTTATGATGAGAGCCTTATCCTAACTGATAATCATACATTACAGTTAAGAACAAATTTACAGTTCAATAACAAACGTCAGTGGCAGAAAATGCAGTTGATTAAAGGAAAAGTGTGGTCCGCGCTTCCATAAAAGAGGACGGCGGCAAACAACAAAACTAATACAGACAATAATTTTAGAACTTGGCTGCCTTGTTCAAACCAACTATTCCTGTCCTGGTTATGACGATAATCTACATCCGCGTCCTGGGTAAGACGATAAACTACGTCCAACAGCAAGGCCTCTGATCAGGAGCTTTTGAGGATAGTGGAACCACCACTTAATTGCTGTCGTTCCCAGGTACAACAGGAACCGGGGTGGTAGCACCTGTTAAGTTCCCAGCTATAGGCAAATAGGTGACACCCAAACTTGTGTAAAAATAGGTTTTAATACCAGAATTACTTTGTAATAAAAAAAAATATTACCAGCAATAATTTTTGAAGGAAAAATTATCATCAATACTTTAAAAAAAAAAGTACAAGCAATATAAACAGCTATACATTCTTTGAAAAAACATATTACCAGTTTTAGATTTCTTCAAGGAAAAATATTCCCAGAAATAGATTTTTGAAAAAAAACATTACCAGCAATAAAAATTTTGTCGGCATTAAATAACCCATTGAGGTTGATATATCGTAGATCAAACCAAACCAAACCAAACCAAACCCACTAGTCATATTCAACTGGATTTACAGAAATAGATTATTACCTTTTTACGATCATTACAAAACGCTTTGATAATGAATATTTTTCTCCAGTTAAAACTAGATTCAAGAGTTAACAATCCGTTTCTCCCTAAATACGTAGATCCGTTATTCTTAGCCTAATTGTTTGCTCTTATCACTTCGACTCATAAATGAGTATATACGGTATTTTCGAGCTGATCAAATGTATCATAATCTTAATCACATTCGTAAAAAGGTATAAAAAGCAGACCTATTAAAAAGCAGTTCTTTTTCCGATAACGGAATTGGAAAGTTATCAGAGGTCAAGGTTACTCAAGCTATAAAATGACAACTTCATTGACCCTGTTTTCTATAGTATCATTGGAAACACGTGCGTACTGGAGGCGGAACCAGACACACACAATATCTAATCACCTAAGGGGAAAGAAACCTTTTGAGTTTCCAACGTCGGTGATAATACTATCATTGGTAGGCGGTATGTTTAGAAAATGCTGTTTTTCTTTTTGTTCGCCATTTTTTCTCCTCAAAGATTCCCACTTACATCTACCGTTTTCCTGGGGAGGGGGTTTGCATTTCCAGGAATTAACTATTCTCAAAAATTATTATGTTTTTCACAGCCCTGAAGTTAGCGTCCTTATTAATAATCTTACGATACTTTTGTTTGTTTCTATTCAAATAATTCATATACTGAGATTAATGTTCCTTCTAAGGATAATATTGCTATTGAAATGAGACAGAGAGAAATATAAGAATATTTAAGATGATTCTAAAATACTGTATTTACGTGCAAATAGCTACATTTATCGATATTTGATCCAACAGTGGAGTAATGGATTGAAAAATCGGAGAGCCGTGTTCGAATCCCAGTCAGATCCATTAAATTCACTTACGTGCTAATAAACTTTGGAAAGGTATGAATCCTCTTTTTTCTCCCCCCACAGCTATGGATAAATAGCAGGAGAGACCAGGTTCTACAGCCTTGGATGACAACTGGTTTACTTCAGAAAGAAAAGGCAACCTACTGCGGGAAAAAATCTGCCTCGTTAGTTATGTATCTCCTAAGCGTGTATCACGCATGGCACATAATCTGACTGATGTATGTGAAGTTCAGCGATTTCTTCAGATTGGCTAATAGAGATTTGTCAATCTTTAAGAAACTTTGATATAAAATTGAATCTAAGAAAACATATGCAATAAGAAACATTTCAACATGTTTTATTTAAAATATAAATCTATTATCTTCAGGAAAATAAATGAATTATATTTAAAATTCGTGATTTGAATGAGTAATATTCTGCGTTATGACTACAAAACTCTTTTTTTTCTCTATTATGATGAAAATATTTTACATTGAAAAAAGGGTGAAAAACATCTTGGATATTTTACTGTAGTTCACATAATGCAAAGCCCAAAGACCACTGAAGACAGAGCTTTAATAAATAAGAGGGAGGAGACAAGATATTATGAAGATACTTAGGATAGATAATGTTTAAACGTAGATTTCAAGAAGTTAAGATTGTAGTGATCGGAAAATTACTTTTTCAGCAGGCATTTCCATAGTTATGAGGAAGAACCTGTTTGAATAGAACTTCCTCCTCACTAATAGAATGCGAAGAAAATGAGGAAGAGTTGACACGGTGTACTTGTCCTCACGTGTCCTAGCTGTAAATGAAACCACGGAATATGGCTTGTCTGAACATCTGCCATGAAAATAGCCACAGAGTAGTAAAAGGCTAGCAGAGTTTTGCCTGTGAGAAAGGGGGTTTTTACGATGGAAAACCATTTCTCACCCACAAGTTTTGACAAACGCATTTGAACACTGTCAAGGTTAGAAAGTGAAGAAAAACAGATAGATACCAGACGTGGCAGAAATATTCAAATTTTGGTCTAATCTTTGTCTTATGAAGATAGAACATAGAAGTAGGAGTCTGGGTATTTTCTGGATAGATAAAAGGAACCAACTAATTTTGCAGAATAGCATTTTTAGCGAATAACCGTATCTCATAATATTCCCGTTTGAGGTATTGTTTGAAGGAGTGCTAATAAAAATTCCAAGCAAAGAAACTCATTTAGAGTACAAACGTTTTACAGGTCTGGAGAAAATTCAGGGAGTGGGGCGGTGCTGTTATGATTGAACAGTACTAGCTTAGTTTCTGGGT